ACTGATAGAAGACTTACTCATAGTAGACAGATTAACTGGGAAACCAAGGTAGGGAATACCTAGCCTCGGGTCTAAGGGCATCACCCAACCTTAGGTCTACAGGATGCGGATATAATACTTACTCATAGTTGACAGATTAACTAGGAAACCAAGGTAGTGAATACCTAACCTTGGGTCTAAGGAAGGGCATCACCCAATCTTAGATCTACAGAATGTTGATAGAAGACTTAATCCTATTAGACAGATTAACTGGAAAACCAAGGTAGGGAATACCTAGCCTTGGGTCTAAGGAATGACATCACCCAACCTTAGGTCTACAGGATGCTGATAGAAGAGTTATTTCTAGTAGACATATTAATTAGGAAACCAAGGTAAGTAATACATAGTCTTGAGTCTAAGGAAGGGCATCACCCAACCTTAGGTCTACAGGATGCTGATAGAAGATTTATTCCTAGTATACAGATTAACTGGGAAACTAAGGTAGGGAATATATAGTCTTGGGTCTAAGGAAGGGCATCACCCAACCTTAGGTTTTTAGGATGCTGATAGAAGACTTACTCATAGTAGACAGATTAACTGGGAAACCAAGGATGGTCATGTGGGGAGGAAGCTGGCTCGACACAGCAGACCGAAACTGGCAAACTAGGATGGTATCACAGAGGGCGTACTCCACCACTAGAGAGTGTACTCCTAAGGGAAAGATGGACCTAACCTTAAGAAAAAGATAGAAGTATTAAAAAGTAAAAGAGAGCACAAGGAACTAAATCAAAATTGCAAGTCAAGGGAAGGAAAATTTTATTGAAAATGAGCTACATCAAGCATTGTACTTCTTAAGGAAACGCCCGTTAACAGGTAACATCGGGTGATTTTCCTTACAATCCACTAGCTGATACGAGACTCCTTCGTAGACAGTCTCCACAATGAAGGGTCCTTCCCAAATTGGTTCAAGCTTTCCTCCTAACTTTCGGTGGGCTAAGATAGGCCTCCAAAGGACCAACACCAAGTCTCCTATTTGGAAGGTCCTAGGTCGCACTAACTTATCATGAGCTTGAACCATTTGAGATTTATATAACTCTAGACTTTATTAAGCTTGGAGTCGTCGCTCTTCAAGGCCTTCGAGTTCTTCCAACTGTAGTTTTGCATTTTGTTCATTCGTGATTTGATTCTGAACTGCAATTCTGAGTGAATGGATTTATATCTCTAAGGGTAAAACGGCCTCAAATCCATAAACTAGTACAAACGGAGTGGATTAGATTAGGGTTCTATAAGGAGTGCGGTAAGCCCATAGAGCCTCCACCAACTGCTCATCTCATTGCTGTTTATTATCATTGAGGGTCTTTTTAATGATTTGAACCAAAGTTTTATTGAAGGCCTCAGCCAATCCATTTGCCCGGGGGTAATAGATCATCAAGTATCTCCAATCAATGTTATGACGTCTTACAAAACTATTGATTTTTATAGACTTAAATGCGGAACTATTATCAGATACGATTCTGTGGGGTACGCCGAATCGATATACGATATGGTCACGAAAGAACTTTAACACATGGTGGGATGTTACATTGTGTAAGGGAATTGCCTCCACCCACTTTGAAAAGTAATCAGTCGCAACTAATATGAAACGATGACCTCTCGAAGAAGGGGGGGTCAATCGGCCCAATAACATCCGTGCCCCAACTTTCAAAGGGCCACGAAGCTATCGTAGGGTGCTACACATTAGGCGGGTGATGTAGAACCACACCATGGACTTGACATTGATGACAATTGCAATATTCGTGCAATCGTCAATCATTGTATGCCAGTAGTAACCAAGTCTTTTGATTCTCAATTTCATCTTTGGACCTGATTGATGTACACCGCATAATCCTGAATGGACCTCATTAACGATCTTCAGGGCTTCCTGTTTGTCCAAACAACGTAGCCACATTTGATCGAATGATCGGCGGTACAGTGAATTGTTGACTAGTGCATAAGATAGGGCACATTTTTTAATCTGGTTGGAGAGAGATTTATCCTGGGGAAGTTTTCCCTCTTGAAGGTAATCAGTTAAAGGTCATCTCCAATCGCCTTCTTCTTCAGTCGTCAAAGAGATAGAAAGGATTTGGAGAGATTTTTTAGTGATATATTCCAAATCTATAGCAGAGAGGGCTTTGCGACCCTGAATCTCTATTGGGATGGAATCTTCCTCTAGGCATGTGAATTCCTTTGCGAGTTTTGCTAAAGCATCCACCGCAGAATTGCTTCCATGGGGAACCCTATACAGAGTCACGATAGGAAGCTGTTCAAGCTAGTGAAGGGTGTACTGGTGGTATTTTGAAAGATTAGGATTCAAGACCTTATAGGTTCCTGCAACTTGATTAATCAACAATTGAGAGTCACTGAAGATCTTAATCACTTTAATCTCCATTAAAATTGCAAGTTCCAAATCAATTATCAAAGCTTCATATTCAGCCTCGTTATTTATGCAGGGCTCCGACAAATGGTAGGAAAAGTGCGTCATGCCTCCCTCCGGTGTTATAAAAATTAAACCGACCCCTGCCTTTCTGGGGATTTTAGGTTGTTGGGCTGCATCCCGACGAGAGGATGCTGCACCATCAAAATATAATTCCCTGACGGCTTCTCCAGATTTCCTCAAACTTATGACTTATTCATCGGGTAAATCATCGTTCAAAGGAGAATCTGCCGGCAGCGGGTGTGCCGCTAGGAGGTCGGCAATGGCTTGTCCTTTTACAGCACGGAGGGGGATGAAATTAATCTAAAATTGGAGTAGTATCATAGACCAACAAGCCAAGCGTCTTGACAACGTAGGCCGAGTCATAAGATACTATAAAAGATTAACTCTCGAAATCAAACTGATTGAGTGGGAAAGCATGTAATGCCTTAGCTTGCAAAACCTAAAGCAAGACAATGCTTCTCAATTGATCGGTATCGAATTTCAGTAGGGAGAAGTCTCCAACTAAGGTAATATAGAGCATTATCTTTTCCTTCATCATTGACTTGGGCTAACATGGCACCTAAAGTCTCGTCTAAGGCTACAGTGTAAAGGATTAATGGCTTTCCTGGAATTAGGGCTGCCAGAACTTGTAGATTAGAAAGGTAATGTTTGATACCGTCAAAGGCATTCTGGCACTTCTCGTCCCATATGAATTTAGCATCTTTCTTTGTAAGGATAGAAAAGGATTGGCATCTCCCAAAAAGATTAGAAATAAACCTTCTTATATATGCCAATTTGCCTTATAGAGATCTTAACTTGGTAAGACTCTTAGGAGATGACATATCTAAGATGGCTTCAATTTTAGCAGGGTCGATCTCAATTCCTCGGTACCTCACTACGAATCCTAAGAATTTTAATGAAGTGACGCCAAAGGCGCATTTCAAGGTGTTCATTTTAAAATTGTAGCGGTGCAATCGTTCAAATACGACTCTTAAATCATAAAGGTGAGTCTCTTTGACCTTACTTTTGACAACTAAGTCATCAATGTAACACTCGACTTGATTGTGAATTAAGTCATCAAAGATATGAGTCATGACACGTTGGTAGGTTGCCCCAGCGTTCTTCAGGCCAAATGGCATCACCTTATAACAAAAGATCCCTATAGAGGTTCTGAATGCAGTATTTCTCTCACCTTCTAGGGCCATCTTGATTTGGTTATAACCAGATGAGCCGTCCATAAAGGAGAAAATAACATGCGGGAGGCAATATCCACCATGAGTTCTGATATGGGTAGAGGGAACTCATCTTTAGGACATGCCTTATTCAAATCCCTATAGTCGACGCAAATTCAAATCTGACCATTTTTCTTTCGAATTGGCACGACATTAGCCACCCAAGAGGGGTATTGTTCCTCTCAGAAGAACCAGGCTTTGGCCAATTTTTTAACTTCAAAAATGACTTGTTGCTCAATCTCTATGCGCATGCACCGAGGGGCTTGCTTAACAGGAATGACATCATGCTGAACTCCAAGTTTGTGGACCGCAACCTTAGCGAACAAACTCGGTATTTCGTCGTATGTCCAGGCAAAGCAATCTCTGAACTCAGACAGTAATTGAATCAAATCCTGGGTCTCATTTTCATTCAGTAAAGTGCTTATAAAAGTAGGACGGAGGTCATCATCAGTTCCTAGGTTAATTTCTCTTAACTCGTCGACCGTTGATTTAATTTCCTCTTCAAATTCAGGGGGTGCATCCCGAACTTGAAGTTCATCAGGATCATATAAAGTCTCCAAACAGATCCCATCCAAAGGACAGACGGGATCTGTAGGGACATTTTGAGATTCAAGATGATAAGTTATTATTAAACAGTATTCATCGTCATCTAATGAACTAACGGTTCCAAAGCTGATACTAGCCATTGGATTTTTCTTGATCTTTGTTTGTCAAATATTTTCATGGTATCTGGCTTGACCCTTAGTCCATCGATACGGTACAGTACCTTTGGAGAAAGTATATTTCACACAGACAGGGAAGTAGCCGAAAGGTAATTCCATTAATTCATTAAAATCTGCCTCCTCAAGGGTTACATCACCTTCATCCCTTGCGGAGGAGGAGCCAGGAAAGAATTTCTGGACTTTCTTTACTTCACCGTTCAGGTTGGGGGCCACTTTAACTTCTAACCCGGCAATCCTGCAAGCTGACAGTGGGGTCAGGGAAAGGGCCTCAATTCTCCTACTGAGCTTTTCATACATTGTTAATTTAGGCTCGTCACTTTTATCCTTCGAGTTATCTACCTCAGAGTCACTATCCTGGTCTAAGGTGATATCAAATTTTGGAGAAGTGTTTATATTCTTATAGTCAAGAGAGAAAGCAACACCTCATTTTTCTGGTTCACTATCGGAATCTAATTCCGGGTCAATATACACAGGTGTTGTTCTCTTATCCAATGAAGTATAACCCCGACCTCATGCCCTTAAGGCCATCCTCCCACCTCTCTAAGGTAATTTGTTTGGAGGCCTAAGGACAACGATATAAAAATCATCTTCACTACTTGAATGTATCTCTTCTTAATGGATGATTTCATCTTTTTCTTTTTCTTTTTCCTTTTCTTGGTTGGATTTTTGTCCAACTAATTTCTCCTCAATCTTGATCTCAAACTTAGAACGGGACGAGGACCCTTTTGGTATGAAATATTTTGCATCCTCATAGATCCCAATTTCTTGAATAGAGAATGGTTGCAGATCCACCTTAATCACATGTTCAATGCATTCTCGTTGATACTTGACGCATTGGTGTAGGGTAGATGGAGCCATTCTATATTCGTTGATCCAAGGTCTACCTAGGAGTGCGTTAAATGATGTTGCCAAATCAGTTATATAAAACTTAGCTTCAGTTTTCAATTCTCCTATCTCTAAGAGCAAAGTGATTGAACCAAAAGCTCTCTCGCCTTTTTCGTTGAACCAAGGTAGCACCAAATTGTCAGTTGAAAGCTTGCTAGAATCAGCTCTGAGGTAGATGAGGGTCTTTATGTTCATTACATTGACCGATGCACCCATATCAACGAGGTCTCTTGATAACTTGAAATTTTCCACATCTACAATAATATAAAGGGGACGGTTATGGTCGGTAGTTCCCAAGAGTAAGTCTTCGTCTGAAAAAGTAACTCCAGAGACCTCTTTAAAGTAAAGTGCCTCATCTTTTGAAGTCGAAGCCAATTGGGCTAGGCAAATCTCAGGATCAAGAAGTGCCTTGATTAAGGACTCTCTCATTTCTTTGGAAAGAAGGAGGGATTCATAAATACTTAATTTGGCTGGCAACTTCCTAAGATGGGCAAGGACATTATAATCAACTTTAGGAATGACTGACTCAAAACCTAGAGGAATTAAAGGAAAATTAGATTGTTGAGGGGAGTTTGGATTTAGATATTCGAAGATGGATTGCTTGCCTTTCTCCTATGGAGGAAGCCCCGGGTAAGACGTTATCGCCATGAAGTTGCACTTGCTCGATATCCTCGGGCAGGCAAACTAGAGTAGTGTCTACACTCACCGTGGGCAATGGATCGTTATTTCCCGAAAGAGAGTCAGAATCTGAAAACTCTATCTCGATAGGACTTCCCTGAAAGTTAATTTGGGGTAAATCACTCTCTGATAAGGTTTCACATTCGACATCTTCTTGAGTGGTTGACTCGGGAGGGTCAATTTGTTTGACATTGAGATTTACTTCACCAGAGTTTTGTTTTAAAACATGAGAATCATAATATTGCACTTCATACTTATGGATAATCATCAAGATAGAGGTAGAAGGATGTTTTTTATTAATCTTTTGACCCTTTGCCTTTGATGGGGCAAAGTAAAAGTCAGATAATAAGAGAGGGGAAAGGGTTTTCACACCACCATCTGCCACTCGAATATATCTCTCATCGACACACTTCCTCTCCATAAATTCATATTTCTTTTATTTTACATTTTTTATAGTAGTTCCTACGACTACTGGAGAGGGAAGTGGCTCAACATCCTTATGCGAAGCGTCCAAGTCAACTTCCCACACCAGGCCCTAGGCTGTCGTAGTAAGCTGTTGAGAAAGATGAAAAGATTTGTTAATCAACTTTTTAAATGCCTGGGACTAAGCAATGTCCCAACCATCTTCGACTGAAAGAGAAGAGTTAAGAAGATTTTCTGAGATAATTTTGACTGAGGCCTTTTCTGGATCTACCAAATACTCTTTAGGAATTATAATATTACCTTGAATGTAGTTCCTCTCGAGCCAATCATTGAACACAATACAATCCTCAAGTGGATGACTGAGCATTCGGTGGTACGGGCAATATTTAGGATCCTCTTTCTTACTTTCATCCTCTGGTCTTCTAGCCTCTGGTAACTGGAAATCTAGCTTCTTTAACAAACTCTTGAAAATCTTTTTAATTGACTCCCTTTTAAATGGATAAGGCTTTGCCAATCGCTCTCTAAAAGGGATGAAGGCAGGATCTCTAGTATGCTTTGAAACTATCTGAAAGGACTGCTTCTGAGGTGGCTGTGGTGGAGGTGGAGTGCAAGGCTGACTAACCACTGGCCTCTTCCCCTTATCAACCGCTGAGACCATAGCTTTCTTCTCAAAAGTTTTCACCAACTTAGGGCCCTTCGTATCTTCAGACTGCTCTCGTAAGAATGGCATCCTAGGAGCCTCTTCCTGCAAATTGCTAGCCTTGTTGAGAAGTTTTTCAAAAGTTTTAATAGTGAAACCCTTCAGGAGAAAAGCAATCGGGCCATGAATGTTCTTAAGAAGAATTTTCACGGCATGTTGCTCTTGCAACTGGGGTTCACACTTCATCAAGAGATTTTGCCACCTCAAGATGTATTCGACCAGAGACTCTCCCGGCTTTTACTTTTCAACAATAAGATCGCCCATAGAGGTGCGTTGTTGCACTCCAAAAAATCTCTTTAGAAAAAATTTTATAGATCGCAAAAGGTTCTTACTGAATCGTTGGGCAGATCGGTGTACCACTCAAAAGCAATTCCGGACAGACTACTTATAAATTGGCAAAAAAAGTAGAGCATCTGACCCTCCTGCATTACAACAACTCACTCGGAAGTGGGCCAGGTGCTGTCTTGAGTTTTCGACTTCGGTGAAAATTTTAAATGACGGTGGCACAAAACCCTTTGGATAATGAACTGAGTCATATTCCTCGGGGGTAGGGTCTACCCTTTGGAATAGATGCGGTCCCTTGTGAAAGGGACAAGGCCTCCCTTACTTGGTCCTCAATCAGTTGTTTAATATCTTTATGAGGCGGAATTGGAGGGGTGGTGGAAATTGTGGGCTGAACTGGAGGTGCTTCTGGTGGGCAAGGAAGAATCAAAGATGCTAACTCGAGGGATTTGGAACTAGATTCTGCCCTTTTAGCCTTTTCTGTGATCTCTCGAGATGACTGCTAGATTTTAAGGGATTCCTGTTGTGATTTATCCAACCTTTCTAGCATTTCCTTAACTTGTGACATCATTCCTGCTAGTTGAGTCTCCAAGTTTCTTATATGCTCTGCATCTCTAGCTTTTATTGACTCATCTGAATCTGACTGGACAACAGGTGAATCCTCATCTCTAACAGGTCGACGCTTGCTAGGTTCAGCTTCTTTATTAGACCCCCTGGTTTCAACCATACAAATGCTACCAACATAATCATCTTCATCTCCAAGGAGATCATCCAAATCTGGGTCAAAAGAGGCCATTCCTTCTCTATTCATAAAAAATATTCTTTATCTCTTTTACTACCTCTTCAATCGGTCTATCTCAAATTGACTTGGGATTGAGGGACAAGTATCCTTTATATTCAGCCATGTCAAACAATTCTTCATAATCCAATATGGAGATGATTTCTATAAGCTTTGGATTAGGATCCGACTGAAACTCCAGAATTGGTTCATCTTTCATCTCTAGATTCTGGTCAGTTCTCTCCTATCCGACTATCCCAGAACTTGCAGTCAGAAGAGTGGCATCCTCTATAGGGTGAGGGGCATCCTCTATAGGGTGAGGGACATATACCTCGGGGGGCAAAGCAGGAGCTTGTAAAGTGATGGCTCCTACATCTGGCAAGGTAAGGTCCTCAAACACCTGACTAGGGAGCCTAGGAACGACACTCAGATCTTGGAGATCATCAACTGGGACAATAGTGGTGGTGGTTACTGGATCTTGAACTAAACTGGCGAAAGGAGCACTATTAATTGTGACATCTGGGGTACTGACAGAAACATCCATTTGATCAATTGGGACCGGAGAAGGAGTAACTGGAACTCGTTGGAGTTGAAGAATGAACTTAGAAGTTATGGGAGGTTGTGGTAAGTTCTCCAACTTAGTCCTCTTGGGCACAAATTTCTGCTTAGGGGACTTAGGCCTTTTGCCTTTAACATCTGCAGGTCTTCGAATTTTAGTCCCCTTTGGCTTAACAATCATTGAGGCCAACTTTATAGTCTTAGGAGGGGGTACCGGGGGTCTACCAATAGAATGGTGGCCTCTCTCGGACCCAGTCAATACAATACCTTCCATTTTAGAGGATGAAAGGCGTGGCACCCAATGATACCCATCAACTAGTACTGAAGTGACAGGTTGTTTGATATACCTCTTGTTCTTTCTTACAGGCTGAGAGGTTAAGTTCTTTGCCTCAGAAACTTCTTTCAAGATCTCCTTCTGGAAGTGATGGGAGATAACTCCCTTTAACTGTTTTACATACTCCTCCTCAGTCTACCCAGACTGTGCCGCACAGGTGTGAATTATGTTCCTTAGTGTCCTTGTCCTCTGGATGTGCTTTTCTTTAAGAGTATTCTTAGTCGAGTAGTCAACTGAGCATGGTGGGGAACGGGTTATCCTAGCTGCCCTCTCCTCTCCTTGAGCAGAAGCAAGGGGGTAGAAGAGACTCCCCTTTAGGAGGGGAGAGGAAGCAGGAATAGGTAGCTCCTCAGTATCCTCAGACTCTACTTGAGCTAAAGTCTTAAAGGACACAACTTTCTTGGCCTTGTAAATCTTCTTCCTAAGCCTCCTCAAATAGTTCTTCTTCTGGTTATTAGTGACAAAGTTAAGTCCAGAACTAGACCCTTCCTCAAAAACAGATTTAACTTCAATGGGCGGCTCAACAACTAGCTCAGACTATTCCTTCTCATCACTGACTACTGGAAGGGTAGGTGCAGATCCCATAATCAACTCAACTACTGGGGGAACTTCCTTATTGGCATCTAAACTAACTATCTGGTGTCCGTCCATGGAGAGCTCAAGGGTGTTGAATCCCATCCCAAAGATCACAGTACTTTCTTGGTCATTAACAGTTGAGGATAGCTCTCGGTCAAAGAAAAACGTATGGGGTAACATGTGACAACTTAGAATTTGAAGAACGTTTTAAAAGAAAATTTGAATTTTGGGAGATTTAAGGTGGGTTTTCTCACAAATTCCAAAACACAATGAACAGAGTTTCCCCTTGCCCGAAGGCTTATGGAACTGTGAGAAAACTCAAGTAAAGTTTGTAGTCTAACCCTCCATACCTCTAAAGGTCAAAAAGGAAGTGAGGGGGTTAAGACTAAAGTACTTCGAAACACCCAAGAGCGTCCTCAAATTCCTTTCAAACTTAAGAATTTATATGTTGAATGAGAAGTTTGTTAACTATAAATTCATAGGATTGAGAAGGATATCCCAAGGATCTGATTTGACACTATCACCTCACTGGTTGCCCTGGGGGCAGAAGGTCAAAATCAGAACAGAAACTTAGTATATAAAAAAATTTGGAGGTAGGACCTCTCTTTTTAATGTTTATTTTATTTTAGATGATGGCCACACTCACCGAAGGAAGAAATGGGTAGAGGGACCAACAGAAGAAATGATAGTTAAAACTACCGATGAAATGAAATTTCGTCACTATTAAAGATGGAGAGAGAGATTCGTCCCACCGGGCTTGCCATTTTTTTGTTGGTAGAATTTTGAAAACATGTTTTGAAAAATATTAGTTTTATTTAAGAATTTTGAAATTGAAGTTGAAGTCTAATTCTAAAGTCGAATTACCCTGCTAGAAAAAGTATATCACCTCGAAGGATGAAATTAAAATTTCATAAACGGTGTTCATACTTAGAATTATGAAGCTCATCTTGAATATTATGACCAGATTCTAAAGAGAACTTCATATAGCCCCGAGGGAACAAAGTGAAGTTCAATTAAATATTCGACTATGACATTCAAAAGTATGACCGTCGAGTTCACATCAAAAACCTTATCAAAGAAGGATGTATCTCTCCAAAGGGAGATAACACCATTCAATGATAATCCTTTGAATGTAATAATGATGTTCGTCTTTTGATTTTTTCCAAGGAAGACTAATAAATTTTTTTTGGAAAATCAATTTTAAAATTAGGTGCATGTGTTGTTCTAAATCTCCTACGAGCGTAAGCCCTCATAGTTAATTATATCGTAGGGAGACAGAGTCCCCTACGAAAACTCTCGATTAAAATAGTGACGGAATTTTATTAGACTTTTTAGGAGTGATATTAAAAAGAGATGCGAATTTTGGAAACTCAAAAGGGAATGGATCAAGATTGAGCAGTTATTAATAGAATCAAGGGAAGAGAGGTAATGGACACTTTGAGATTCTAGAATCATCCAAAAGTGTCCCAACTTAATCTAAGTGTTGGGCTTTATATTTTGTATTTAAATGATGATTTAATTAGAGTTGAGCATTTTATTAGAAATTTGGGATTATATTCCCAAAATTCGGAGTCTTATAATCAAAGATCTGACCCGATCTTAAATCTATTTTGGACACTAGACCACAGTCGTCCGAATCTAACTAATGCAGAGCAGAACCTGGACTTACCCCGGCCTGGATTGGGGAGCCAGCTAACCACCTAATCGATTTAAAATACATGAGTCCGATCTTTTATGAAAGAGTGGTATGGACGTTTTACTTAAAGGTTTCAGAGAGTTGGGGCCGACATCTATAGATTTTCCTAATTGGCCCCTTTAACTTATGTTGGGTGCAAAATGCTAAGGACTAATGCAATTAAAATTTTGACTCTTTTAATTTGTTTCTAATGCAATGCGTGCTAGTTGACAACTTCAAATCAAACATGCTTGAAATTTTAAAAACAGGCTTGAAAATAATTTTTTAGAAGACTGGGCTTCCCCAGGTCCGGCACCTTGTCCTCATAAGTCAGACTATCCGAACTCTACCCGCAGGTGGGGAAGGGTCTAAAATAAGGAGAGCGTAGTGCAGAAATATGCATGCGACCCTGGGTTCGATCCCCGGCTAATTCCCTAAATTCGTTATCTTTTTATGTTATTTAGACTCACTAAAATTTTAAACTTTATAATTATGAATATAAAACTTTCACACCCTCACGAGTCCCTCGAGTCCTTCCAAAAACAAAAGAGGCAGACAAACGCTAAAAAACTAAGAAAAGTAGGCAACCCTAAAGGCAATCTTCTCAACACATCAAGTATAAATAAATTAATTAATATATGTCTATAGGCAAAGTTGCCTTGCTTATTACAAATCAGAATTTTAGAGAAAGTAAAGTGGTCGGGCACCACTGACAACAACCCGGATTCAAAACCTAGTAGAGACACAAGTAGTTTTGAATGGGATACTTTCTAACTTTAGTTCTTCAATCTTGTTCTCTTTCAGGTTCATCTCCTTCAGGCTCCTTGGATTCTTCGTAGTAGACTACCCAAATAGATAAGAGGGCACTTCCTTTGAAAGGAAGGGCATTCTTTCCTCTTTGGGTAAGAAAGAAATGATCCAAACTTGGATTTCCAAATAGAAAGGGGCCACTCCCCTTAAGGGGTGTCCTTTTCTCTTCGGAG